TGGTTTTCTACATTCAAAAAAATTAATTCATTCTTAAATTTATCATTAGTAATAGTATGTCATTTTTTATATTTTATGGTAAGTTTTCAATTTGCTGCAATTTCTATAATTCTCTTTAATTTCCTTATAATCATGGAAATTCTTTTATAAATGATCTTCATCACTTGAATCATCTTTAAAATCTAATCCACATATTAAAACGTTCTGAATTGTGACATATCATTCATTGATAGAATTTTTCTTTGTTGTTCATTAGATACATCTATGATTATTTCCTATAATTGACAATCATAAGCTTGAACCAAAATGTCTCTCTTTGGTAGACCTGATACTACTTGATATATTAGGAGAACATTTAGATCTAGAGGAGAGGAAAGTATAATTTATCTCATCCTATTTTAACTTAAGTGAATTATTTTAAATTTCTCACTCATTTTTCCTTAATTTTAAACTTTCATCCATCTACTATGTTGGAATCTTGAACACTAAGATTTTTATAGTAGTTTTGACTCCTTGCCTAAACATCCACTATCAAAGAACAACCAATTTTAACATTGTATTAAACATAACATTTAGTCAACAACTGCTAATTATCCAGATCAAACCTCTAGATTTGTCAAAGCTGATTACAAGACTCAACTCTCAAGAGTTATTAAATCAAAGCTTAATCACAAGTTTATCTCTCTCATGATATAGAAAATATCATGATGGCAGCTTTTAGATTTTTGTATGAGATTGTAATCACATTCAAAAATTTGATGGATAGAAACTTGACGCTACATAAATTAACCATTGATGAGGCTAAATTTATAGAGAAATTTGAGTCACAACTTGGCCGTATTTACTGCCATTTTTCAATATTAAAGTTCAAAAACTAAATAGAAATTTAAATACTCAGAAATCAATGCATTATATCTTTTAATAATTCGTGTATCCTCTAATATGAAACCAATAAACATAGCCATTAAGCTTTAACATATATATCCAAGGTATTACAAAGTAACCAATAAGAATCCACAATCGTTAGAACATAATCATTAATACTATTTCTTCAAGAAATGACTTTGCACTAAATGAATTCCAAATCACATCATATAAAACATGAGTATGAGGTTAGACATATTATATTTATTTCAATATATGACATCATTACTTGGGTGACTTCTACATCTCAAAATTATTTTTCAATTAATATTCAATCATATTCTGAAAACTTTGAATGGCCATTTACATAGTTTGGAAGAAATTCAATCAATTAATTCACCAATAACTGATTGAAAATAGTCATTTAAGATCTTCCACACCAAGTATATGAATGAGCTTTGATACTAATAATTTACTTAAAAATTCACGCAGAATAGTTAAACATAAAGTATTGCCAAATAAGGAAATATATATTATTACCACACTAAAAGAAGACATCAATGTAGTATTTATTATTTTCGACATTTAATTATTGTTCTGTCAGAATTTTAGAAACTTATTTTCAGTATACATTGAATGCATTCACTATTTTTCACTCGCTGTACTCCCTCTTTCTCCACTCTCCCCCTACTCAATGATTTCTTTCCTTCAAATTTTAGCTCCCCCTCACATGCACCACTCCTCTTTGAGGCTTGTCCTTTTTTTCTTCCTCTTTATGTTATCACCAAAATATGAGGAAATCTTCAAGCTCCATCAACAGTAATGCTCTAAAAGCCAAAGATGATTGTCCATCTCAGAACAGCCATACCATTGAAACAAAAATGACAACAAATTCAACATAAGAAAGACCAGATTTGGGGTAAGGCATTTTGAATTCCAAATTTTAAATGAAGTAGATTTGTCCTAGTTCTTATTTTTGAAGATCAATGATATACTACTGGAAGAGCTCAATGATGACCACATTTTGAGGAAAAGAAGGCTGAGTGTTCAAAAGATATTCTTCCATTTGAGCAAGAATCAATTCTTGAAGTTTTATAGGCTGAACATTAAAGGCATGATGAGTGAGAAAATGAATCACAATTGTGATGCCGATTTTAGCATCAAAATGACAAAATGAATTTTTTGAAGAAATAGGAAACAAAGATTTTCGATATCAGTCATGAACATAACCTGATCTATTTATTTATCTTAATTGTGTTTATCATCATCAAACTATTTGAATAAGGCTACTGAAGCCAGAAAAATGGTTATAAAAATTAAATGCAATGAGACAAGAAGAAAAAATATGATGATCTTGTACCAAACATCATAATTAGGTTGAAATGGAAGAAGGGAACCAAATTAAAACTAAAATGGAATCTTAACCGCTTTGAGTGTTACCGAATGAATAGATTTTCCGCACCGAAGAGGCCGCACAAAAATTCTACATTGGGATGTATGCTGCCCACTTAAAGCTAAGATCATACAGCATGCATAGAAAATAATTTTCTCTGACGCAAGGGCAAGTAATCTTTCTGTCCTTTGATTGATTAGTCAAAGAATCAGAGTCTTTCTTGGCATCTCAAAACATTTTAGAAGAAATAAATAAATGAGGAGGGGTTACATCTGTGTGAACCTATAGTTCATGAATCAGAATATCACCTCTTGTGATCAAGACATTGATACCTGCGAATTCTAAATGGCTATAAATAAATATGAATTATACTGCCATTGAAGGATAATTTTTTTGCCAAATAATGCCTGTGTTTTTCATGGCATAAAATAACCTCCGAATATCTAATCATCAGTTCTCATATGAAAACAAAAAAAAATTATTTCAAGCCCTCATTTCATGTGCGCAAGCTCTCACCAAGGTTCATGTCATCTCTTTCAGCTCTTCTCCGATGTAGGTTTATATACGTTCCTATACAAATACCTTTTTTACGTTTCTAAATAAGCATTCTGTTTGTTGACCAAGGCTTGTGTTCCTATATAAGGTTCACTTTGCAGCCTAGGAAGCTAGTCTGTTAAAGGAAGTTATGTAGCGGAAATATCAAAAGCAACATTTGTAGTGTAAACTAGGGCTTTAATTTCTCCGATCTATCTTAAATTTATAGGAAATTTGAAGTCATTTCTCTCCCCTTTTGAGTAGACTCTTTTGACCTAACGAAAAGTGATCCAGGGTCTTGGAGTTAGTTCTTCTTCTATAACATCAGCCTGTGATTTAGTTGCAATAGGAAAAGCGAAGGAAGAGAAGATTATACATATTATGTGGCTCTCTTAATGTAAAGCAATCACTTCAACAAGACATGTTTTTTGTTAAGATTCTAACAATAATCATAGTTTTCCTCTGGAATATGTGTATTACTTGAAAACACATGTTTTCTATGAGATTTAAATATAATTCGATAAGCCAGCCTTCATATTAATTATGTTATGTTCATATGTACGTATTAAATTAAACACACCAGCATAAGTACTAATTTTGATATTTTATACTAGTGAATACAAGTATGGGAGGTTGAAACGATTGCTGAAAAAGAGACAAAAAATCTAGGTTACCATTGGCACTAGAAACTTTGCATAGAGAGAATCTTATGTCATGCATAGACATTAAATCTTAAATTAAAGATAAAATGCTTAGATGCAACACAAATCTTAGTAAATAATTAGCCATGAGTAATGTGCCCAATATCCAATTATCATGCTTGGGCATACTGAGTTCAAATAAAAAATGACAATCCACATACATCCTAGGTCTTGAGTCATTATTTCAAATTTCTCTTCAATGATTTCTTGAGTAAATATAAATTCAGTGACTTGATTATCGTATAAAATCTTAGTACAAATTTTTGTGTCTTTTCCCACATCATCAAGATACTTGTCCCTTTCCAACTTTTATATGATGCCTTTTTGTATATTTACATCGATTTATGCCTCCCCTTGATGTAATGGAAGCTTTATATTGAGCAAGACTTAACTTATGATATGAACGCAAATAATCTAACTTATACATTTAGCCTAAAACAATTTTTAAATGTTTGACCGTGGAGTCTGTATGGATAATATTAAGAACAGTTTTCATGAAACAATTTCATAGATGATACTCAATAGTAAATCATCCGAAGTGATTTTGGTGACCATTTAGACCTATTAGATGGTTTCTATGTAACCTCCAAATTAAAGTTAACCCCAACTTGCTTAAAACTATATATATGATGAATTTATTCATAACCTTTATCAAATTTATTTCTATAAAGGTATGGCACGTAAAATTCAAGAATTTTTAATCGAAAAGAGGTATTGACAATCGTCACTTTCAATTCTATTATTTCTTTGATAAAGGTCCTATTATGAGAAGTGCTCCAGGCTTTATATGGAATCTCCGATTAAATAAATATTCTCACCTTTGCTAGTTAAAAAGAGACCAGTATTAAAGATGTACTAGAGCAATACTCTTAGTAAATGAATTAAATACCTAGGAGGAATGGGCGGCCAAATTTAATGTGTAACATGAACAAATGTTTATTAATTACTTAAATAAAAATACTTGAGAAAAAGGCATTGCACAGATCAGCATCCTAAAAATATTTCAGCTTGTTTGGCGGCATGTGTATATTTGTAGTTCTAATTGGCTCGTCTTTGAACATGACCAAATGGCTTTAACTATGATTTCACCTACAGTAGTCAAGCCAACGTGATATCTCCTCTAAGGAGAGAGCCTAACGCCTGATTGAGCGTCCAGGGGGGGTTTGAATGTCACTGGGAGAGGAGACGACGAATGATGCTAGAATCATAATAAGAAGATTAGCCGTCACATAACGATAGATAGTAGGTGGATGTGGTTGGTGCTCAATGTTTTCAACGCTTTGGCCTCGAAATCGCCCGTGAAAACAAATGCAGTGATGCACATATTTTGATTTTGACGATGATTGACTAAACATATCCGATGATGCTGTCGCAGCTCCAATCCGGGCTGGAGCGATCGATGATGATCCTACTGCGCCTTCAAACAGCGAAATTCCGCACCTGCAGAACCCCTTCCCCGTCCGTCTCTTGTTATTTCTTTCCATGAAAAAAAATCCCTCCCCCCACCCCTAATACCAGCGCCTCGGCGGCCTCTTCGAGATCCCCTCTCCGCAGACGCCGCCGCCTTCGCCTTCCTCTTCGATCGCCGCCGCGGCAGTGCCGGAGAGCGCCTTCAGCTCCTTCAGCTCCTTGAGGCACGAGTAGCTCCTCCTCGCCGGGGGGCCGCCGGAGGACTTTATCGCATTCCGCCCGCTGGGAGAAGACGCGACAGCTCCTGCCCCCGCTGTCCTTAGAACGCCCGCCCTCGACGGAGCGGCCGCGGCGGTCGCCGGCGGAGGCCGCGGCGGCGTGCCCTGAAACTTTCCCACCTTGGTCGGGGGCGGGGAGAGGAAGCCCGGATCCCTGTTCTCCTTCCTCAGCGCCGCCGAGAAGTTGGGCACGGAGCGCATCACCGCCGGCATCTTCATCTTCTCCGGCGCCGGCTCAGGCCTCGTCCGGGCGAGCTTGAAGGAGGAGGGGCTGAGGAGCAGCATCTCCTCCTCCCTCTTCCTCCTGAGCCTGGAGTCCCTCAGCTCCGTGTAGGCGGAGTACATTGGCCCCCGCCGCATCCGCACGGCGGCGAGGTGGCGATTGAGCGGCGGCGGAGGGGTGCGGGGAGGGGAGGGGAAGAAGAGCTCGAGCTCGGGGGAGAGAGCGGAGCTTGGAGGGGCGATGTCGTCGTCCTTCATTGGGGAGGAGCTCCTTCCGCTCCTCATCTGACGGACTACTAACCGACTGAGGGAGCAAGACGTGATAGGCGGGCGGGCCGCCTACGCAACGGTCGAATACGCACCAGGTGGGGCCGGCCCGCTCTCTCTCTCTCTGTCTCTCCACGTGGAGATGCGGTGGCTTTGGTCTCAGAACGAAACGAGCAAGGCCGCAACGGTCGGATTCAACTGACGGGCGAAGGCTCCACCACCGCTGGCGACGGGAAGAAGAAAGGGGGGCGAAACTTGGGCAACCAAGAGAGACAATCTTTCTTCTATTTCCTTTTCCACTAATGGCAATGAATCTATACACGAATGAATTCTCTGCTGCTGCTGCTCGTCTCCTCCACCACGCCCAGCCCATCTCACTCTCCCTCTCTCTCTCTATCTCTCTCTCTCGCTAGACACCATCCATCCATCCATCCATCACGAAGCGGGTAGGACCCCATTAAATACCCACCGAGAGGGGGAGAGAAGAGAGAGGAGAGGAGAGGAGAGAAGATGGGCTCCTGCAGAGGGATGTACACGAAGCGGCGGCGGCGACGCTCTTCAAAACTGGCTGCTGGTGAGGCGGCGCCACCGTCTAGAGAGAGGAGAGGGCCCGAGTCATGGCCTCGGAGAGGCGACGGACCTTGAGCGAGAGCTCGGCACTCTTGGCGAAGTAGGAGGCGGCGTTGGAGAGCATCACCCCGACGTCGTGCCGCACCGCCTCCACCTTCCGGTAGTACCCGCTCTCCACCCGCCGCCTTATCACCTCCGGCGACAGCGGCACAGGGAACCTGCACACCCACGCACGCACGCACGCATGCACCCAGATGACAGACGTACAGAGATACACAAGGACTGTGAAGAAGAAAGCAAGGAAGAGCGCCCCACCTGTTGAGGAAGTCGGACTTGAGGGCGACCTGGTTCAGCTTCTGGATCCCGTGGTAGTCCTGCAAACAGAGTCCGCCATAAGAATGGAAGGAAGAAAGAAATAGAAGAACCAACGAACCACTCACCGTATTGGTGGAGGAGAGCTGCTCGAGCCTGGAGAGGGAGGAGAGAAGGAGCGCGGAGGTGCGGCCGTCGAGGCGCGGGTGCTCCCACTGAGTTCCGGCGTCATGGAGCTCCCAGGGGCTGTGGAGGTGCTGCCCGGAGGAGTCGTTTTTGTACTGGACGACAAAGCGCTCCCAGGGGCTGTCCGGGAAGTCGGGCGACTTAGGCTTCACCGCCACTACGCGGCCCTCCCACCAGCTGCCGCCGTCGCCGCCCTCGTTGCGCCACCAGACCTGGCACTTGTCCCGGTGGGTCCAATTCCGCTCCATCGCCACCTCGTACCTCCTCCTCTCCACCAGAAAGTCCGGGAAGGCCACCAGCTCCGGCAGAGTCAGCTTGAACGCCTTCTGGTACGCGCAGCACGACGGGTCTGCAAACTCCAGCGTCAGCTTGCAACAGCTCTCCCCCGACCCAGGAAGCGCCGAGTAGTCCACTACATCCACTCTGCACAGCTCCACCGCCCTCAGGCTGCCCCCCTTCACCAGCTTCCACGGCCCCACCTCCTGGGCGTGCGAGGCTCTCAGATACTCCTCGTGCCCCTGAGACCCCGCCCCCACAAGAAACAAAAGCAACAAACGAAGGTTACAACTAGAGAGGGAAAGAAGAGAGAGACAGACAGACAGACAGGCAAACAGACAGGTCAAGGAGGAAGGTGGGTAAAAGGTTAGAACCGACCAACCCTCCTGTCCCCGACAGAGAAAGGTCGAGGACAAACAAAGATTAGAACCAACCAACCTGTCTCAGATAGATGACTTCGTCGCCCAGCTGCGGGATGTATCTGTAGCCTTCCTCGTGCTCGGACAAGAGCAGCCACGACATCTTCTTCGTCGAATTCTGGGTTCTTCTCTTACCCAGAGGGCTCAGGTCGCAGGCGCTGTAGTTCTCTCTCCTGTTCCGGTGAGATCTTAGCCCGACGGTCATCTTCGAGGCCGACCGCCGTTTCTCTGACAAGAACAGTTCGCAACCATTCATGGCGGATTTCCCTCCTCCCACCACCACCTTGGACGTCTCCGCAGAGCTGTGCCTTCCCCTGGCTCTGAACCCATTCACAAGAGAATTATTGGGGTGCTGCTCGTAGCTGGAGGACGCCGAGTTCTCATCCCCACCGTGGGGCAGATCTCCATGGGGTAGAACTTCCATCTGCCCAGAGTTCTCACCTCCCAATATTCTTCCTCCTCTGCCCCCAGATGAACTAGACCTCCGGTAAACAGCTGTGTACTTTTTAGAATAAGGATCTGCAGACAAGTCCCCTGAATCCAATTTCCCAGACACATCGTTCCAGTCGCCATGGTCCGGACTGTGTCCGCTAGTGCCCTCATCTGCCCTAATGGCGACTGTGTGCTGATTCTTCTCTTCTACTTGCAGCAGGTCGCCCAGCATCAAACCGCAGTCAGAATCCCAAGCATCGACTGCAACCGATTTTAACCTGGAAGATGGGCTCTCGGGTTCACCCGCCAATCTACTGGACTTGATCTTCAACCTCCTGTACACTGGTTTTGCGTCAACCGAATCAGGGGCAGATGAACCTTCAAGGTCAACCGACGCGTCATCGCCTCTTTCTTGCTGCAGCTCATCTTCATCGTTGATCCCAGTGCTGCTTCGGATGATGACGTCTTCGCTACAGCTGCCGGCGGCCTGCCCATTAGATGTGGCTCGGTGTCTTCGTCCTGACGGATGAGGATGAGGATGATGATGATGATGATGATGATTTGGTGGAAAAGGCCTCGATTCGTCCTCCGCGTTGGGAGAAGGCTGCTCAATTTTTGAACTAGCGAAAGCTTCTAAGACGCTAGCCGCGGCCTGCTCGCCAAAACAGTAGTCATCGGATTTCACCTGCCTGTTCATGCTCTTGTCGTCGTCATTTGGGTCATCCACATTTGGGTTCTGTGCGGGTGAAGCTTCAGACAACCGCAAGCGTTTGGTGGAGCGCGTCTTCACCTCTCCCCATTTGATTGTTCCGCCTTTGTACCCGGACGGCACCACGTCCGGCTGATCCACAAACTTTTCAGCTTGCCATCTTTCGCTGACCTTGTCTCCGCCGCCATTTTCTGATAAACCAGCGTCAGCGGCGCGCACAGAAGATTCCGCCGCCTCGTACGATGTCGAGCAGGTCCCGTTTACATTCAGACGATCAGAAGAAAGTGCCTCGACCGCCTTTCCCTCTTGAAGATGACCTCCCCTCGTAACGTCCTCGGGCGGCGCTTCTCTACGGTCGCGAACAGAGAACTTCACCACCAGCCTCCTGGTGGTCGATGGGTTCCTCACCTGTGAAGAAGGTCTTCTTGAAGCATCGTCAACAAGCTCATCCACCACCAAGACGTCCTTCTGCTTCGCGTGTTTCCCCTGAGCTCCCAAAACCGAATGGTCGGATTCATTGCTCAGAGTGTATGAATCCTGAAGCATGGACCCGCTCTCCGAAGAATCGGTCTCTGAGACATCATCCTCCTCTCCGTCTGAGGAGGCTTCGTTTATCTGAGAGAACAAGGTGAGGGCATTGCGAGCAGCGCGCCTCTGAGGTCGCAGTGACTTGGACTTGGAAGATTTTCTCCTAGACTTGCCATTCTTTTGTTTTCTCGTCCTCTGGTTAATACTGGCCGCAGGGCCATCACGCTCATCCAAGTTTCTCCTCTTCACTCGCCTTCCGGAGGACGTAGTGAGCTCAATCTGCGAGGCCATCCACGCGATAAGTTAAGTGTGAGTAATTAAATTACACATGGCATGGGAGAAAGAACACGGTCAGGGATTAGCAAGTAGCCACTTACTTCCGACTTCTGGTTCTTTCTTTTAGAGCGACGAAGTCCATCTTTAGCAGTGCCGTGATTCACTTCGCTTTCTTCCGGGCTGCACTGTGAGTCCCCAGAGACGCCAACGCTCACACTCTCGTGGTCTGCCTCGCTAGAGAACTCCTCAGCAGCATCATATTCAGAGTCAGTGTCCTCACTTTGCACCTCATTCTCTTGCTCCCAGTCAACGGCATCCACAAACTCGGGAATAGGCTCGATCCATCTCTCCAGGTCAATCAGTGGAATTTGAAAGGCTGCCGCGTTTATGTTCTCACCCGGGCCGACTGCAAATTTCACAGAAGGAGGATGCCATTCGATGCCAAGGGCACCTAACCGGCGACGCTGGTACATGCTCTGATAAGGTTCGGGGTAAGGAATTAAACCTGGCATCATAGCCCAAGCAAAGGGATGAGAATAGCAGAGTAGTAGCAAGAAAACCAAAAAAATATATAGGACTGGACCCCATACTCGAATCACAAAGGAGGTCCTGCATATTCCGGTGATGTGGAGGTAGTTGAGTCTCCTGTGCATGGACCAAGGAACCATCATGCGTCATCAAGAAAGCTTGCTGGCATATTAGTTCACACAGAGACTTGGACCATATTCATACTCGACTTTTATGACAGACTGGATCTCAAATATCTTGCCATTGATCCACAGAGGTCCAGATTAATTTTACCAAGGAAAAAATAGGTTATAATTAATGAATAAAATGATTACGTTGTAGAATTATCATCCTGGGCTGTGTGGGCCCACCGGATTTCCGAAACAAGAAGACATTGATACAACATTTTCTCACATCTTGGACATTTTGCTATCCTAGCAACCCATTCGATGTGAAAAATTGCCAAAGGTGGTGCAACAGTTCACAATCCTTTAAAATCGTTGGTTCATCTTTGAAAAACCCATCACTAGTATTAAGTTTCACAGATCTAGCTAGCTCTGGTCTTTATCACACTTTCTGAAAATGCATCCATACGTCCCCATAACCAGAAGTTTAGTTCCTGGAAACCTGTGACACTGAAACCTTATTGAACATGAACAGCACGTCCGTTTCAGGCTTACCAAGCAAGGGCAATTCATAATCAATGTCAATTATATGGGCACGATATTTTGAAAAGCACCCTTCTGGGTTATAGGCACCAGGGTCATGTCCTCACCACATCTAAAGAGACATGACATGTCTTTCCTCTCCCTAAGGTCTGCAGCTCACTACTAAATATGGGTTCAGAGAAAGAAAAAAAATGATCGATGCGTATCGACTTAAACTAACTCAATTCTAACTCACAAATACGTGAATTAATCACTTTTGATAAGTAACGGGTTCTTTCCATAGCACTTAAACTAGCAGAGTACATGATCTTAAGGCATGCCGTGGATCTGAATCGTGGATGAATAAAACAGATCCTGCAAGATAGTCCAATTCAGACCGAGTCGGCAAGCTCTAGTAACAACAACGACATCTAGAAAAAAATCATTGCGTTAATGTGGTGCAACGAATGACGTTTCAAATACGTATGAAAATGGCTGCAACCCTTCGTTGACGAAAAATTTCAACGCACCTCCACGTCCCTTTGACAAAAGTATCCAACGATGGTATTAAAACTATATGGCCTACAAGTCTTTTTTCTTGGTGTGCTAATGAAAATCTTATTGGCTATCATAAAAGCCGATTAACGAAACCAGAATTAAAAGATGATTGATCATAATGAAAGTTCAAACCTCTACTGGAAAAGGATAAAAAAATAAAAAAAATTATCCCAAATAGCAAATTGGAAAAACACGTGTCACAATGTTCAAAGGACAAGAATTGTCATGACATCAAACCATTCTTGCATTGTTTTTAGCACCTAACACAATTAACAAGGTACACTTTCTTCTAGGTAGCATAATTAAACAACCAATAAAGCGAAGGAAGAAAGCGTTTATCTAACCAACAATGCGCATCATTATTTTATACTAGAAATAAACAACCAAAAGAGGATGTATAGTAACATGATCTATAACACATCCATGAAGAAGTAAATTATGGACAGTAATAACAGAGAGGTGGAGGCATACGAATAATCAGTAAAACAATCATAAGCCTGATCCAACATAGTAAAAGTTGCGCACCAACCTGATCTAAAATATTCCCATGAGTATCTTGAATAAGGGGGCGATAATCACCAAGGAAAAACTGTTGAACATATAAGATTCATTTAGTAATATTGAATTTGAAACACGCAGCTTTTCCCTCTGAATAAAACAAACTGGCGTACTTCCGAAGATACCTGATCATATTTAGCATCCTCCAGAGAATCACCTTGACCAGTGGCTATGACAAGTATCTGACCAACTTCATCTGAAAGTACAATTGATGTCCCATCCCTATATGTTACATAAACAAAGCAGATAAAGATATCAACAATAAAATAACAACAACATTCTGAAACACCGGATCAACATGTGCCTCCAAGACACAATGAAATTAGAAAAAGAGATCTCGATTCAATTACTTATAAGAGAGATTTAAAACAAACTGGGTAAACATCAAAGCACATGAAGGTTGAATATGTTATTATAGCTTCCTCCATGGCTGATTATAACGTCCAATAATCTTGCTAAAGGAGACCTCTGTGGGTACACATATAATTTCTACCTTCCATCTGGATTCCAATATAATTTCTTTTCTTTTGTATTCTCTACTATAAATGATGGGCATTTTTAACCTTTAGAAAGTACATTTCACAAACTATGCATACATCACTTCTTTATTGGCTTAATGGTGTAGAGTGAATTGATATAAGCTTAAAAACACTGACTTTTTGTTTATAATAAAAACATTTTTAAGGAGATGCGCAATCCCTTGATGCAGTCTGGCCTCTTATTCACTTCTTAAGGTTCACAGATTGAAAACGAGGTCCGTATCCCTGGAATGTAACTTTTGGTGCCCATCTTTGGAGGCTCATTTTCATAAGAATGACGAAGTATTTAATGTTCAACGCTGAAGCTGAAGCCAGACACTACCACCGAAAGACATAACTAAACTACTGCCAAAAAAAATGGACACCCACACAATACCTCTCCCAACACCAAGAAAAATAGCTGGATTAGTGCAATCTTAGGCAGGTATCAAGAATAGAATGCTTTGAGTGGAATACATCAACTTACGGTGAGAACTTCCCATCAACCAACTTGAAACGTCCAGTTTCATATATTCGAACAGGCGTTCCCTCCCATATCTATAGTGAACAGTTCTCAAGATATCAGAAAATCTCATACACAGTCATGGAGAGAACTATACCAACAACAAAATATTTTCAAAAAAACCAATACTTTAAGAGCTTACATCCCATATGATTGTTTTTCCATCATATCCAGCGCTCATAGCAATTCGAGGGTTGAATGGATGAACATCCAAGACAAATGTCTATCAAGGGAGGAAAAAATGTTAGTTAAAAAAGTTAATAATGAATTCAAAAAAAGCAGGCACATTTTCTAAAGGAAGATACAAGAAATGGAATGGAACAAAGAAGACGAGGGTAAGAACTTTTCCCTGCAAATAGTCATTAGATGAGAGCGATGTCCCACAGCTAGAAGAAAATAGGCAAAGGCTAGAAAACCATGAGGAATGTCTTTTTGGATTGTATTCAAGGCTACCATAGACAATCATGTGACAAAGCGTGGGGATGACATTTAGAGGGAAGGGATTCAAAGGATCAAGAGGTTTTCAGGTGGATTTGAACGTCCCTTAGAAAGATCATGAAACCAGACATCCCTGGTGTAAGCCACCCAAAAACCAGCTATGATAGACTGAATGAAAATAAATGAATGAATTTCAATGAGATATTTCAGTGTGAACCTTAAAACTGGAGAAATTTTGGTATCCATTGGAAAAAAGGACGCTGTATTTTTTCATTTTCTTTTAGGATGAGACAGCGATGTAATATCAATGGTGTGAAAATTTGTTGTGCCCTATTCTCGACATAAAAAAATAGAAGGCTCTCATCTGGATCTCCACTGGGGATTACAATGATTTAAATAGATGGGAACTAGATCTTGTACAGGAGATTTACATGACAACATAATTGTTTGTATCCTACAGTTCATGGCAACGTATCTGTCCTACAACCTGAACTTGCCTCCCCGCAATTTGTCATGGGTCCTTGGGGATGAGACAAACAGAAGTCTTTGCCCTGGTTGTAAAGCACTATATACATTGGCAGGAAAAAAAGGCCTTTAAATCTATAAAAAAAAACTAAAATGAAGCCAGGTAATGGCCCGACTACGAAGCCCAGATATGACTTTTAATTGCTATGGTAGGTGATTCTGCCTTTCTCAGCTCCTTGAGCTGAGACTAATGCTTATACCAGCATCACAGGTTTTTCCTCATGAAGTGATTGCAGTTTACAGATCAAAAGAGAGCTATGTAACTATATTTCTCTACTGAGGGACTTTCAGGGTTGTTATCTTGTAATTACTTTTAGGGAGAGAATTTATGTAATCAAGAGAAGATATTTCCAGTAATTTGATTATTTTCAATGTGCACGAACTTTTACCACCTTCAAATAAAATGCAAAAGCATGAAAGCCTAGTGTTTTCACAAATGTAAAGGAGCAACCAAATGGGAAAAGGACAACTATGGGCAGTGCAGGTGTATTGACTCAAAATCATTGAACAATAAGTAGACGAATAAGAGAGACCGATCCAAACAAGGTTGAAGAAAATTTCTAATACTCGCCTACATAATATTTAGCTAAGCAGCAAACGATGCAGCACTTAACAACTGGACCACTTACAGATTCGCTATGCCCCATCAAAGAATGTACTAAACTGCCATCAGAAGCATTCCACACGCATATTCTGCAATCTGCAAAAGCAAGGAGGGTAAAGTCATGATTTGAGAGAGATGCTACCATCACAAAGTTTCACCGTCAAGAACATCCCTGGTCCTTATTCCAGCGTAATACTTCACAGTCAACACTTAACGACTCTAAACTTCCAACATTCACTGTGCAGATTATTTTTCTAGAGTATTTTCTGCATTGCAGACGATTTACATAAAAATGGGAGAGCAAGAATGATCAGGTGGGAACATTCTACTTTTAAAAATAAATTAGTCCCCAATAGAGTGATACTGAAGTATCCGCATGGAAAGTGTGAGTGGTTCAATTCGGCAGATCCTCATACAGGGGATCACATAGTACACTACTCTGATGACAAGACTATATGGGGATCCTTTGTACAGGAGAAACCAACAAAGTCTTGTTTCCATCTTTCCTCATTTCATTGGTACATTTTTACAAGCTGTACAGAATGACTTTTGTCATTGACAAAAACCTCAGCTGGTTGGGAATTGTAATTGGAAACCTTAGGGACTAAAGACATAACAGGAAAAACGAAATTGTAGAAAGCCAATAGGACGTTGTCAACCTTCCCAAAGGTACAGAATTAGCATTCTAGAACTTAGGAAGACAAAGTGGCCTGAAAATTTGAAAGAAAAATAAAAATGATGTGATGTGATGTGGCACTCTTCTTATCGTCCTCTAAATTTGAAAGAAAGCAACGAATGCTGTAAGACGATACTAAAAACAAAACATTACGTGAATAGTCGAAGCTGATATTTATGCCATTCAATGAACTATTTACATATCATAATCTTATACTTATAGTTTTCATCCCACATTCTCAAACAGCGTTTGAACACAACAGAAAACAAGTTACCCCAATCGTGTACCACATCAATAACCACATAATGGGTAGACATGTCCTAAGGATATGAAACGAGTGAATCACCATCATTAACAGTGATTTTTCACGCCCCACGAACCTTCATAGCCACCCTATTTTTCATGTGAGCTTGTATTCGGGCAGCAGGAGACATTTCCACTCCATATGATCAAAAGTTTCACTGCAGAAAACCCATACTGCAAATTCATGCGCAATGCTGGTCTACCATATATCTCAGAGTAAATATTAAGCATGACGCAGTTTTGCAGTCGTCATGTTAGGCAAAGAAGAGTCAATATGGCACCAATCTGACTTTGAAGTTCGGCAGCTTGAATGAATTAGGATAGTATTTAACAGATGTAGAAGCAATCTTACATGATCTCCACAGATCCGACTTTCACAATTGTTTCCCTCTCTAGGGGAACATAGTTAATGGCACATACCCTGCCTCATGAACAAGAAAGGGATTGCATTCAACTATGCTGGCATAATGCCAGCCAAAAATACAAATACAGCAACATTCATCAAGAGCCACATGATGGGCAGCAAACTGATATTGAGTAGCATATCCTGAACTTCATTCAATCACTCCATTTCTACATAAAATCCAGTTCGATTTCTATTCATAAAAAGACAAGCAACAATGATTCCACATATACTAGATGAAAGCTTTCTGAAAATGATTCTGTGGAGTATTTATATTTCGTCTAAGATATGGGATATCTATCATCTAATAACTTCTTTCCATAAGCTCAGTCAATGAAAAAGAAACCCTTTGCACCCAGGAAGGAAACATTAGAACTGCTTTTCTCTGATAGTTTGTTTTGGATTAGGTTAAAAAAGTACGCAGGAAACAAAGCTAGGCGAAATTTACTAAAATTTGAGCAATCATAAAGCATCCACAGTCATTTAGAAGCAGTCATCTGAGATCTGAAAAAGAAATAGATCGTTTGGATGCAGGATTTAGAATAACAATAAACAAAAACAAAAACTTGGATGAAGCATTGACATGGCTTACCCATGATAGCGGCAAGGACAAATCGATTATCCAAGCTCCACACAATCATATTAACACCACGTGGTGTTGGCTGCAATCTTTGGCGTGGGCCTCCTCGAGGAGGCTGAGGTGGCACAGGTGGTGGAGGAACTCTAAGATGGTAAGCTCGTGTCCAACGCCCAACCTTACCCTACATAAATAAAAATAGCAAGATGATAATTTTACCTCAATAAATCAAAAATGAACATACTAAAATAAAAAGCCCTACAAATTTATTCGCAAATATCACCCATTATTTTCTTAGATAATATCAAAGGAGGAAAAAAACATTTGAAGTGCAGTTTGTCCATCCCAGTATTACTAACATGATTGTTGAATAAAAAAAAAAATTCGAAAAAACATGAATGGGCACAAACAACAAAGTCAGGGAGAATAACACACATGAGATCTACGTGATCTTGGGATCCAGATAATTGCACTGCCATCACGGGAACAAGTAACAATATTGTCATGGGTAAACCTACAAAATAAATAAATGCTTTGAAGTCAAATTGAAGACAATGTAATCACGTTAATGACAAATCAAAAAGTAATCCTGAAACTTTTACATTCAGATAAAACCTCCAACGCACAAAAAACGGTAAAGAGATATTCAAAATATTGGCAGCTAACCAGGAATTCTTAAACTTTGGGAGGTTATCCTCCTTCGATGTATCAGCCATGGTGGACCTTGACACAGTGGCACAACCACTAAACAAGACAGTGATTAAAGTTAGTTTTAAAAATAGAACAAGAGAGAAACAGGAAAATGATAAACTTAAAATAAAAGTGCTAGCTATGTACCTGAATTGTACATAATTCACATCATTCTCATGGCCAGATAACAGATCCATTTCATGGTTAGGTTGTTCTGCATCTTCAAGGTTGATCTTACAAGCATTCCAAACCTGTACAGAATCAAATTAAGAAACTTAATGCATCTTATCAACAAGAGAGTTCCATATCACTCAAGCGTTAACTAAAGACAAACAAGTAATATCTACAACTTATGCCACACATATATACCCTTGCATAAGTGTCCGAGCTACCAGTGACAAATACAGTTCCACTTGCATTGTACGCACAACACAAAATTTGGTGCCCTTGCTGAGGAGTACTTGAAGAGGGAAGGCTCGGTTTCCCTGTAGTAAGATTAAAAAGCATAAAGTATACTTTTCCAAGTAGTCTTCAATACTGGAAAATATAAATACTAACCAGGTATAACATCTGGAGGCTTGGGAATGTAAACTCTTGGACTTGTTTGAGAATAGCGAGCATCCCAAATACGGCAAGTTCCATCATCCGAGGAACTAGGAAGCAGAATCAATGAAATGTAGGTCAAACAAATCATTAAAGTGCTGTCATTTTAGAAAATGAACCAAAGAAGGTACATCTATGCCATAAAGAATGCTCCTAAATGTAAAAGAAAACAAGAAAATTTCCACCAGGGATCTGAAGTAGGACAAACACATGAAATTGGCTGCAACGAGTATTAAGATCATGAAATGATACATAGGTTATTGGATAGATAATATTAATGGGTACCGGAACAAGTCAATATACATCGAAATAATTACTACCCTCTTGGATAATTTATTGTGCAGATCAAACCTTCTCACGAGCAACTATGATATTCATAAACTCGGGCTAAATCGCCCAATTTATGAGTTAAGCACAGCAGAAATTTGTCAATTTTGCAGCTATAAGGAGATTTTCTGGCTGATCTTACGTGATTTCACTTTGGCTATCTCATCTGCTGGTAATAGAAGAACACTTCGCTGGTACGGGGTAAATGATGAAGACGAAAAGAAACTCACACAAGGTAGCCATCAATCACCAAATACGAGGGGATGAAAGTTCAGACATGAGGAAGAAAAACGTCACCCGCCACTATCAATCACCCACCTTTAACTGCCATGGCCGCAAACTCCTGTTACAACCCTACACCCCAAGAGTTCCACGAGTCCACCACAGTTACTATCCCACCCAAAACAAGAATAATGAGGATCGGAGAAATGAATATATTTATACAAACCCTTAGTTATAATGATATTACATTAGTAAATGCTGTACTATATACTCTGGTACAACCCAAATACAAATTTTACCTCAGGTAGTTTGATCAAATTCAAACCACAGTACTGATATTTACAAATGAAAAGACTACTAACAAAGTTCAATTAGAAAACAAAATCGACGTACAAGAAAAGTGTCAGTTGAAAAAGGCATGCAAACAGAGACAAACGATAGAGATAAGGGAGATCACTAATAGACAAATGCATCACGAAATAATCATCGCTTCTGAAAAAAAAAGATGGGTTTAAACCAAAGATGATATATTTAAGGCGCGCATCATATGATAGCACCATCTAGGAACCACAATCAAAGTTTAACATCACAAGTATGAAGATATCTCACACATAGGCATGTGATAATTAACGCTCTAACACAAGCAGGCGTTCACACAAAAATGCACAAGCACACGGTACACAGTACACAGAGAGTAGAGATAGATAAACGGACAGATAATTAGAAGTGTGCGTAAAGAGAAATAGACAGAGAGGAAGGGACAAAATGATGGGATGGAATGGAGACTAACGATAAAAGCTGGTAAACTGCAGATGGCCTAGGACTAAATGCAATAGCAGTTACAGCTCCAGTATGTCCCCGCAAGACAGAAATTGGCAATCCATCCGGCAAACGCCACTGCAGCAAAAACAAATACCATCAAATTTTCATAGCAATGAACAATAAGGTAATTCAACAAAAAATTGTAAACGCAAAAATTTAATATATACTGGAAGAAAAAACTTACAACTCTGATAATAAAGTCATTAGAAGCTGAAGCCACCAATGCATTATTTGAACTCACAGCCAAATCAGTAATGTCACCCTAACAGAGGTGCAGCCAGAATTAAGACTCTCTCCACAGAACAAGAAGGTAATGAAATAGAATAACAGGATATACCTCATGTCCACGACAGCTAGCCAAACAAAATGCCGTCTCCATTGACCAAATTTTAACCAAGCGATCATCAGAACCAGTAATCACATGTCGCCCTGAACGATCAAATATTGCTACAAGAAATAATGTAAATATATCATTACATAGTTTCACAATGCTACTACTTTCGCAACGTTGTAACTTACAGGATTTTCTTTTTCGAAAACAAAGAATAAAAACAGGGCAAAGGAGAACATATAAAAGTTAAGCGGTACTCGGTAGAATATCAACATGAATTATAGACAAAAACTGTCAGGAGTAAACAAGTCATCAGAGAACAGAACAAATTAGAAACAAGAATGAAGGCATAAGATGGAACACATTAGGATTCAGGATGTAACTTCCCCGCCGGCAATTAAGGAGAAAATAGTGTGCCCTTCGAAGTACAGATATGTGGAATTAGTATTTTAGCCCCCAAGAAAGCAAACATCAAAGAGAGCATCTTTTTCTTTACTCAAAAGTTTAGATTCATGCACAAAGAACTTCAAGTTAATCAGGCAGTATCAGATCTAAATGACCCATCAAAGGTAAGAAATGGAATACAGTGTCATCATAATGATAAGGACAATATAGTGGGATTGCTTTGACAATCAGGATATTAATGCATCAGATCAGAAAAACATGAGATATAATTAAAGAAAACAATCCAGTCTTATCCACACTAATTGGTAGTGAACTTCATCGAGTGTTATAGTATTTTTGCCCAATTTGCACGTTAATCCTAGGAAAGATGAGCCACAAAATGTTACCGAAATCTAGATAGATACGAAGTGTTACAGGTGTACCACAATAAACTGCATTTTGGTGTCCTCTCAATCTTTTCTTAATTTCCATATTCTGCAGCATGGTCGACGGTTTAGCAATAGCATAGCATGCTGCACGAACTGAGGGTGCACGATGGTGTTTGGCAAAACCTCCCCCCATCTCTCTCAAGCTTAGCCCTCGAACCGGATCAGCATGGATATGTGGCCAACGCGAGTGTACAGGCAAGCGATATGCTCTCTGATCTTCAATATCTAGATTTGCTGGAACAAATAAAATGTCAGCTGAGAATCTGAATATTTCACTGATAGAAATGGATAAAGATAATGAAAGACAAATCACTTCTATCCAACGAGAGATGCGATTCAGATGGAAGAAGAAATATCTAGGAATTTACTAAACAAAACAATAATACCACATACATCCCAAAAGTGAGAAAGTTCCAGAACCAAGGAGCGTCGGAACATCAGCAGCATTTGGGAAATTTCCTCCAACCATCCCATGTGACGAACGAGAACAGTTCAATAATAATTGTTTCAAAAGTTTTACAAGGTGGCCTTGCTCAACATGAGGGTACCTGAAAGTGGCATACAGAATTGATCAATAATACCCAAGTTTAAAATTTTATTTCATTCAAAATGATTTGATTGTTCCAATGAATAGCACAGAATTAGATTCCTCAAACTTCTCTGAAGATTAAAACTAATGATAGATGAGCAACTCGGAACGTGCCAGCTATGAGCACATGGCAAGAGACGTCACTGAAACAGTAAACATTATCAATTCTTTCCAAAAAAAATGTGTAAATTATAGTAAAGTATTAGAAATATTTCTCATTAAATCTAAACAGAACAGCATGACATCTTAACTAGAGAAGAGAACAAATTAACTAGGAAGGAAGTTTACCAATGGCTTTCCATACTAAAAGCTAAAAAAATTCAATAACCAAAATGTTTTAATTAATGCGTAAATTTTTAATTTAAAAAGATCTAAGAAGATAATTAAGATGGACTATAACTACAAGCAAACCGTCATCATTGCTTAGGATTGAATGGAAATCTAAACTTTTGAAACATAGACAGCACACGTCAAACAATACAAATATAAAAGAAATGAAAAAAGGATACAAAGACATTCTTGAACATATTTACACATTTGGCATTAGCATATATGTAAACAATCGATACTACTGAGAGATGTTGCTATTGACTTTTAAAAAAATCACATGCTTATGCGTCTTGAATATGTTCATAAATTTCTCATTAACGACGGTTCATAACATGAATGTCATAAACAAGACCGAAATATCAGTGCTGACAGGCTTGATGCATGTCTAAAACAAGCACATGCCAACAGATCATAAGCAGCGTAGCTTCAAAAGACAAAAGCAGGAGACTACAGATTACAAGCAATATGACAATATAATGTTCGTAACCTCTCTTCCCAAGAAATTCAAACAAAAAAAAATTATTTCGAAAGAAAGATTTCATTTCATGTTCACATTTCAGGACTAAAATTCAAGTGAACACTACTAGAATGAATTAATAATCATGGCTCATTTGCGCTGAAAACAGTAAAAGGTCCACACTGCTGATTAGCAATACTAATCAACTATGAAATATAAAATGTTCTACAGAAAATACTGCACGTTCATAATTAAAGCAAAGAATAACTTTGAGTAGGAAGAAATCATGTACCTCTTCAATAAACTAGAGTAGTTCAATGGTAGTGAACACCCATCATCATTCTCATCCCCACTAGGCTCGCCACTTCTTGAATACCAACCATGATACCTTCTAGGTAAAAGCTGATGCTCCAAAAGCTCATTCCAAAATTGAGCATATGTTCTTCGACATGGACTAGATGACAAAAAATGAATAATTAAAAAATAAACTTCTTTGAGATCAATATCTACATCAACTTCCACAGGTGCCCCAGCAGTCATCTCAGGCTCCAATGAATGATCCATCTCATGCAGTTTTCTTGGTAAATTTAAAGACACCATGTTAACATCAGCATCATGATACTTCTGAAGAGATATGCTTCATGCCAATCTGAAAAGAACACAAAGAACATAAAATTAGCATAAACAAAAGGTCCAAAGCAAGAAATAAGTACAACATGGCTTCTCAAAGAGACAATGACACACGGAAACATGGAAAGAGAAACAGAAGAAGGGAGGAAAGATAAAAATGGAAGCATGACACATGTTTATAAAAGAAAGAAGATGAGGTATTAGAAAAACTCAATTTTAAAAGCATGTACATAAGAAAAAAAATGCATGTAACAACCGATGTCAATCTTTCTTAGCAATTTCCCCACCAAATGTTCTACTCAAAAATCGGAAGCAGAAACAGAAGAAAGGGTCAGAAAAATCTGGCAGCATGAGATTAATGACCAACTGAACAACAATAATGCAACCACAAGATCAATGATCAATTAACTAACTGCCTTCTGGGATAGGGAAACAAAACGGTTAACAGATTGGCAGACGAATCTAAAGCTATTAATGATTGCAGGATCTTATGAGACGTGTTAAAGTCGACTACCAACTTTTATCTTGATAAGAGTGATTTGATGTCACTAAATAGGTATTTCTGCATCTCGGACTACTAAATTCTTGAGACGATAATGTCAAACTTCTCAAAGACCGAGTACATTTGTGATCCAAGAATGCTAATATACTCGTGTGGCTTAAAAGTGCAAATAGACTAATATGGCATCAAAATTTATGACCAATCTAGTTCATCACTAACTCAAACCAACAGATAATCTGAGTTTAGACACAGCCAGCGAATAAATGAGAGATCATTGAAAATCCCGTTCACATAGTTTTCACAAAAAAATGAAATGGATATTACTGGATACCATCTTACAAGACTCATTTTTGGTACAGAGAAATGCACAGGAAAGCCTCTTAAAGAAAATCTCTAATGAAGGCACATGAAAAATCAGACAGTTATTGCATCTCCTTAGACAAATGAACGTGAAACTGAAACATATTTCACCTCTCAGCATCTCCAGCTCATGTACGACAGATGTGACACATCTACGGATTGCATGCAGACGACAGGAAAGAAATTGAAGGAAACACAGTTTACCATAACAGCTCAGGGACTTGAAACCTACTCACTTTCCGCAACCCATACCTATTTTCAATTCTCAGATTCTACAAAGATTGCAATACTTGACATAATAATTATTTAAAAGCTTGGACCTTCAAATGTTCTAACAGCAAAGGCTTTCGCAAAACCTTACTCAGGTTCTTCAGGTTTTTTCAGTTTAGCTCCATCAGAATGAAAATACAAGAGTTCACCAATAACCCCCCCCCCCCCCCACTCAAATTATGCGACTTTCCTCAACAGCATATCAATCTAAATAAGTCTAATTATTGATTAGACCACTCAAACATTCCAATTTTACAGATCCCTCTTCCTATATTTGGAGATTCAACTGTAAAATCTAAACTAGTCTATTAATAGCGAGCATCAAGTGTTTGTGTGTGCACCCATGAAGGAGCCATTGTCATAAGCACGCAAGATTGAGATGAAACTCAGTTTAGCAAATGTAGCGGGGACACAAGACGAAGTCATGAGGGGCTACACTGGAAGAATGAAGCATAAAATAAGCACATAGATGGCGAGGTAGATGCATTCTTGCTCATCTCCTTTAATTCAGGCCTAGATATATGCCCTTGTTTGATAAAATTGTGATCTAGTTACATAGGAGGTTCAACTACAAGTCTCAAATTATCATGTTTGGTGAGCAGAAGGCAGAACGTAAGAAATAAGTAGTCAACAGACAACTAAACTTATCCTTGAATTCTTTTAACAGAGATTTAACCTTACAAAACATTGTCAGTCTTGGATAGTTTTTCGATTTTGCACAAAGATATCTTTTGGTATATCATCTGTTTTTCGCTCAATCCTTCTTTACAAAAATATTGGGCCAAGGTTAATTGCAATCAGCAGAAGAAATGATAAAAGATAGTATTTTTCACTCATGAAAATCTCGCTCTAACAGATCAGAAAAAAATGTTGTACAATGTGCTTATCATTTAATTTGAACAATAACATGTATTTATATGTCTCAGCCTAAATTTAAAATTGGTTAAAGGTTTACTGAGGTTTCCTTTTCAATCAAGATGAAGGAGAGTAGGGGAAAGTGTGAGGGGATGCTCCTATGGTTTTGGAGTCTTCTTTGAAACCGTCATGAGAAAGTGATGTAGTGAGAAGGCTCATATTGCTCGGGGATCTTCTTTGGCACTGCAATGGGAAAGGAAGGAGCCGTAAGGCTTTGGGATTTTCTGTGATACCACAACAGATGGTCTAATATTAGACAGAGACACCTCGCAAGAGAGGGGTCAAATGAGTCCAGCGTCCCATATCAATGGAGAGGAAAAAGTTAATCGGGGCAGGAAAGAGAAAAAGGGATGGGGAAGTTTTTCCAGTTTTCCCACCTACCTGATCTTCTTCCACCAGCTGCAACCCCCAACACATGAAGCATGACAACACCTATTGAACAAGTAGGCACCATTAAAAACAAAAGCCCTTCCCATTTACCCACCCATGAAGCCCCCTGTCAGCCTTGCCATTTCTTTTCACTCCCTTCGTCATTCTACCTCTAACACTGAAAAAGAGGAACAAGGGATGGAGGTTGAGACCCATCTCAACCTCCATCTTTTCTAGTGCAATGTCCCTATGTAAAAGAACCATATTAGTCAGAGCCTTTCATCCAAAGTGTTGATCAACCACAAGCAAAATAAAAAGAAGCTACCAGAAAATGTCAAATATTTCGTTGATCTTGAAATAATGAGATGTCTGATGATACTTTAGATGCATTGATAGGCTATCAATTAAGCATGGCATAAAAGTACGTAGAGTTTCATACTTTCGTCTCTCTACCACCAGAATGCTCAAATCAAGGAAGCTAAAAGAAACTGGCACGAATTTTTTCCTGCCTGCTTATGCCTCAATCTATCCCAGCTCTCTTAAACATTGAAGACACTTAAATATGTATATTGGGGATCCAGATTGATGAAATAACCGTCCACATAAAATGAATGATCCGGTTGATAAAAACATCTGAATAATGCTATCTTTTATCCCCAAGAATACACATCAGTTAAAACTTTTCATCCCTGTGGGAAACATCTTTTCCCACATCATTTTCCCTGATCAAATCTGAACCTCCCTTCTTCACAAACGACGCCACATGACCAGGTCTTTTCCCCCCTTGTTCTGTACCCTATTTGGGATATCTTTTGACTTCATTAAAATCGATGCTAGAAGCCCTATAAAAATTACAATTTCATCCACAGTAAAGTTTGATCTAAGCGAAGGTTTCAACCTTCATTCATTGACTGGTAAATCATCCGAAATATATTCCACCTTAAATTGACTTTTGTCCATAATTTTGATAATCTAATACAGATTTAGGATTACTCTAGCAAGAAATATCCAAAAACTAACTCCAGTGAAAGTTAGGAATCGAGAAGTTATCATCCGTAGGTCTTGAATCATAGAGGTATTATCTAACATATTATTGAACCGTATCTTTCAAACCATCATTCTCAAATAAGTCATGCTTTCACGTATCTAAATCAATTGAATTACCCTATTGATTATTGTGCTATCTGTGATCTACAACTTATATCCATAAACCATCTTTTAGATAACATATCTCCTTCACATAACTACTGGTCAGCGTCACATTTTCGCCATTTATAAGGCCATCAAAAGATTCAGACATCAGTGTACAATTGCATTGAAGAATATTGTCATGTGTCTCCATTGGCAACGAAGTCTCTTGAACTAGAATTTTGGCACACATCAGGCCTGCTATCCCCGCCAATGACGGGCGCATATTATGGAGTTTATCAGGCACAGCAAAAGCAGAAATCGTCGTCATCCGGTTAACAGCTAAGGTCGAAAAGTTATAGGAATTGCGGCATTGTACTCTATCCTCGGGGCCTCCAAACCAAGCCCATATAAGTAGTGCAAGGATCTGAGATGGAAGTGATATTGACGATTGAGGATGGAGCCCTGGATGCAACCGTACATCAATCGAGTCACATCTGAGTCTACCAGCATATTTCCTCCAAGCATTCACGCATACAGGGAACTATCGATACAAAGTTAAGCGACACATCAACTTGCTGGGAAAAAAAAGTTCGCCACACGCTAAGAATGCAAAATTCGGAGCGGAAGACAGTTCTGCCGAGGCAAATGTCTCAGAAAAGCGTTGAAAGACGGAAGAACCCAAGAAGCAGGGCAAACAGAAGCACTCAAGGGAACCCAAACTTACACACGATCGACGCAGCCGCGCCCCACACGCGAAAGACGGCGCCCGGACGGGGAACACCCAGGAACCCGAGGAACTTGCTCCTGCTCTCCCTGTGGCGCGCACATTAGGGCAACTGAGCTCAGATAAAGAACCCTGGCGGGGGATGCGTCTGCCCTAGAAAATCCAGGCGGCGCCCGCGAAGGACCCGCATGCGCCAGAGCATCCAGGCGGCGCCCGAGACCAGAGCAGCAAGGAGCCGAGAAAGGCCGAGCGCAGCGAGCGGGAGGGGAGGGCGCTGGCGGTGTGCGGGCAGAAGGTCCCCTTTTTCTTGCGGATCTGACGATTTTTATCTGCCATTATTCGTAATAAAAAGGGTAGCAACGCCATCCTACGCGACTGACCCACCCAAACCCTACCGCGGTCCTACGTGATGCCCGCCACGTAGGCGTCAGTCCAGATCGGATCTCCGCCCCCCGTCTAACCTCGCCGCCCTTCGATGCGGCTTGCGTGGCGGCCTCTCCCGCGTCGGATTTACGTCGGCTTGCCTGGCTGCACTTTCTCACCGCTCGACTACTAAACAGGGTTCTAGAACTGGTGGGCCTCCTAAGTTTGTAAATTAGGTATAGATCCCATCACTCGTGGTACCCAATTGGCTCCGGGTTGGCAAGATCCGAGACCACTCGGGGATACCGGCCACGAGGCAAAAACAAATCCTTCCCTTGGTTATATCAACGGAGAGTATATATATATATAAATATATATATTGACATTTTTGCTAAATAGTGCAAACCAGGCATAAAATAATGCTGCAATTTGTCGAGGAAATAAACAAAAGTATCTTCACAGCTTCAGAAAAGAAGAGCAAAAGAAGAAAGAGAGGACGGGTCTCCCCCTTTCTTGAATGCCTGGTATTCTCATATAGAGCCATCGCCCACCCATATCTGCCGAGCAGGGTTGATCACACCATCCCTTGAAGATGTATGTGGAGGATCCATCAGCATTTGATGATGATGGTGATGATGGTGATGATGGTGATGATGGTGATGATGGTGATGATAGTGATGATAGTGATGACGGTGATGATGATAATAATGATGGATGATGGTGATGATAGTGATGATAGTGATGATAGTGATGACGGTGATGATGATAATAATGATGGATGATGGTGATGATAGTGATGATAGTGATGACGATGATGACGATGATGATGATAATAATGATGGATGATGGATGATGGATGATGCTGATGACAATTGATGGTGCGTTGGCAGAAAGAAGACTATTCTTGCAAGATACTTGTCACCCACCATTCCTTTAGCTGGATCCCCATCATCCAATCTTTCTCATTCAGCCACAGCCAAAGCCCGCCGACTTAATATTGGGTACTTCTCTCCACATTGGGCTTCCCCATAATGAGTCATGGGTATTTGTGATCAGATGATTGGCTGTGCCTCTTCCATTCAAAAAACGCCCATTCCTGGGGGATCATGCTCAATTCACATGGACGAGGACCAGCTCTACAACTCAGCAGCAGCACTAGGTACATATGAGAAGCCAAATCACACTGGTTAGAGAAGGATCATGCAGAGTATTTCCGGTTCGATGAACTGCCCACCACCAGGCGGACCAAGATCAGACGAGACAAGCCACAGAGAGAGAGAGAGAGAGAGAGAGAGAGAGAGAGAGAGAGAGAGTTCAGACACTTTTAACATATGCTACTCTGCTCGTATGTACATAACTATAGGTGAGTATCTATGTATACCTGTGTACATATATATATATATATACACCGGGGAGGGGGAAGAGCAGCATGTATGAGTGAAGGCGGTCCCTCTCCAAGCTCCAGCCTGTACAATTGAAGGGGTCTGTATACATAAAAGAATGAGCAAGCAGCCTGTACTAGCGAAGCCGGTCGGGTCCCGAATGTATGCACCAGCACCCCCTTTCCTTTCCTCCCTGCCGCACGGCAGAGAAAAGAAAGAAAGAAAGAAAGAAAGAATTCATATAGAGGGCTCACCAGGGGAGGAAGGGGGCAGAAGAAGAAGGGGTGAGGGGGTTTAAGACAAGTATTTACATGTAGAGGAAGGGAAGAAAGATGGAGGCAGAACCGGCTCGCCCTCAGATTACCCGGGTGTTGTAGGACCCGCAAGAACCGCATTTGTGATAGAGCCAGTGGAACCGGGCGGTCCCCTTCTTGTCGCAGTCATTGCATAGGATGCCCTGCGGGATCGACACGGAAGCGGCGGCACCGGGCGGCGGTGAGGATGCGATCATCAGAGGGCAGCAGGATTTGGGGAGTGCAGGTGAGGAGGAGGAAGGCGGCAGTGGCTGTACCTGACTGCGGTCCCTGTACTCCTCCGGGAGCTCCTCGGTCGCCAACAGAGCGTCGAGCATCCCAAAGTAAACCTGCAGAAGGGGAAGATCATCCCCCACATAATCAAAAAGACATTTTGGGGAAGGGATTAAAACAAATTAAAAGACGGATTTTCTCTATAATCGATTTGAACCATAAAAAGAAGTTCAGCTAGAACGAAGCAGGCAGAGAGGGGCCCTACCGCCATGTCGCCCAGAGATTTACTGCATATTGGGCATGTGTAATGGCTGCAGGTGTAGGCCTGAACACGAGCAACGAAAGGAGAGGGGGAGGGGGGGGGGTCAGTCTGGAGCCAATTTAGATGGGAGAGAAGGCGGCATTAGAAGAGGAGGGAGGATGGAAAGAGAGATGGGCAATAGGTGATGGACCTGAAAACAAGCCGAGTGCATGAAGTGGCCGCAGGGTAGGGCTCTAACTGCTGCGCTTGATGTGAACAGAAAGTCGCAGCAGATGGGGCAGTTCGTCTCCAGGCTCTTCTCCCGGCACTTGTGCTCGACGAGTTTCATTCCCAGGCAGCAATTGCATTTCATGCAGTGAAAGAAGTCCACGCCGAGCCCCTTCCCCACACGGCACAAGTTGCAGAAAGGGCAGTGGTACACCGTCCTGAAGGACAAACGTAAGGAACCCATTTTTGCTTCAGTGGGATTCGGATGAGCTACAAAAGAGGGCCCCAAAAAGATTGGAGCGAGCTAGTAAAACTAGGAATTGTAGTTGTGCATTTGAATAGTGATCTACCATGCAGAGGTTGTAAACTGTTAAAACAGGGGTGGGTTCGTCAAATCAAAGGGTGCGGTGCAGAGACAAAATGCCAGATCAGATCCCTCCGCACGGTCAAACGTCAAGAGATGCAGTGAGCCGTTTCAAGAAATAAACCAGGCAGGAAGGCAAGAGAAACATACAAACGGGCTTGAAAACAGCATACGGAAGAGAAACTCAAGAGGAATTGCATCTTGCATGGATCCAGATTTCATAGGAATTACGGGTCACGCGAAAGTCTCTCTGTTGTCAAGAGCTACCGAGTGTTGCGGTGGAAAATAATACGACCCAGTTTAGATCCGGCTACATTCAGATCGACGTGAAGTTCACATATGAACCATCTTTCAAGTTTCAAGCATCACCATCGACTGGAAAAAATAACCAAAACAGGGCAAAACAACAGAGTCTGGAGGGTTCCCAAGGTAGCTGACGGACCACCGATTTCCCACTCTGGTTTGCATCTCATAATTTGGACAAAAATCAGACCCAAAAACGTTAACCCTCTTCTCCTTTCAGCGGTGGGGAAGCCCTCTAAAAAACGTTCAATTCACAAGAACAGGTTCTAAACCCATCAAACCCAAGAAAATACGTCGCCAACAATCAAAGTGCTACGGAAATTGACAGTTCCTGAAAAGCAAAACTGTGCAATAAATGAAGAAAGGTAGACAATATCCAAGGGACCTTCGATCCGCCATCTACAATGTCATACAGAAAGGTTTGCCTAAAAATATCCATACCTTTCATCATCAAAAAATTTGCAGATATTGCAGAAGTATTTAGACATTGAAAATCCCTCACAAGAAGGTGTTCTGCAGGTCGGCCCAACCGGCTGAACCTTTAAGCAGCGCATACACATCATTTCAGTGGTGGCTTTCCTGTATCACAAATATAATCAGCAACTGTAACCACTTGCTAGTCGAAACAAAAAGCAGATACGCTACCTGTCCATAGAATGATCGCTGACTTTATCATGACAGAAACGGCAAGTGAATAGCTTGTTGCAACAAGCAGCAACTAGTTTACAATTTCGTTTGTAATGTTCACAGCCAAACGCTTTCTTCTCAGGATCTCGGTATGAGGGAGAACATCCAAACAAAGTTCCATCTTTTCCGTTTTCAACTGATCTTGCCTGAGGCGACTTTTGCTGAGCTGCTATCCATCGGCTACGAAAAATAAAGTCCAAATTTAGTTTCTATAATACATGGAAAACCACTCCATGTCTCAAAAAATAAGGATAAAAAAATAAATTAAGGGAACTAAGATAATTTAAGACAAATCCTATCATTTTGTACAAAAAAATGGCATTTTGAAAGTATATCATGCCATGCAATTAGTAAGCGTGAAAAGGAACAGGGATATGCAAAAAACATATATAATTAGGTTGAGAGAAAGAAGTACAAAACAAACCTTGTCATAAGATTTTGAATGAGGTATGCTTTTCTCCGAGGATCAAGCGTTGGATCCTGAGAAACTCTTCGTATCTCTGACTCAAGTTCACTCTGGTTCATCCGAAAGATGTCCTTCCAGCCCGGTTTGAACATATCATCTGTTTGGTCAAGGCTATCTTGGATATCAGCACCTGAACAATCTAAACAAAAATTACTATTGCGGACACTGGGAACCACTAAAACCAGCATCTTCTAATTCTTGGCAAACAAGATACCTATACATTACTATATACTTCACCTACGATTCCCCCATTGGAGAGAGAACTATAAAAGACGTGGATCATAGACATAATAAAAAAATTCAATTTCAAAACGAAAATATAATGTTAACAGGAAACCTTTTGTGCTTGTGTCATTTTCTTTTGAAGCCTGCGAAGGAGAGTCGGGAATTTCCTTCCACCATTCATTAAGCCATTCATTAAACATTGTATTTTTTGTTGCCTGCCTCCACGTATCCATCATTTTATTCTGTTCCTCTTGAGTAAGCGCAGATGTTACCCATGGCAGCATTGACTGGAGCACTTCTGCACCTGTTGTCCCAATTATGCGACCGACAATTTTGTTTTGTTCTTCCACAGAAAAATGCTTATCAAACAATGGCCATAACTCAAGTTCTTCCCTGAAAACATGCTGATCCAGTGTAACTCGAATAGATTTGCACATCCCCTGAAGCTTTGTAGCTAGTTCATTGTGCTTTTGTATCCAGTCAGTATCATCAAGCGAAGAAGGGAAGAGCTTGACACAGGCACGTTCACTGGAAGTAGCCAAGCCTAAGTTTCCATGAACTTGTGAAAATTCTGAAAGAACAATAGATATATCTTCAAAGAGTTTCTCCTCTTGTTTGTGGTCAAGGGTGTACGAGTGGCTCACATTGTGAAGGGCCTCCTTGGATTCTAAGGCTGGAAAAACAATATCATCTTCAGCATTACTATGAGCTCTATATAGACCCCACAGCAGACGAAATCGTCCACTGAACTGCCGTAGAAATGTTTCATCACAACCTATAAGCTTTCCAGACTCAACATCCAAATACTCCAAGTCTTTACGAATTGCCACATGAAACTTGAAGATGTTGTCAATAGGCCTCAGTGTCTGCCCAGAGTCAGATGACATGATATCAGTTTCCCAGAAAAGACTCGAGTTAAAAGATGGAACCGAGGAATTGTAAGACAAGGATCGTAAAGATTTTCTGGCAGATAGCGCCTTCAATGCTGGATTGTTGTTATTGACTCCAAGTCCAGGGACACAACAAGGCCGTTTCATATTTGCCGAGTGCTCAGATACACCGGAGTTTTCACTTGAATCCAATAGATTACACCGTTTTTTTGGCCTCTCCACATTATCTATCGTTAGATACGATGATGATTCCCCCTTAGTACTTAATAGGCAAAGACATGCACAGACTGCCTGACTACAATCTTCTTCAATGTCCTTGGCGGGTGAACAGTCGGCAAGGTTATTTGAAGACGGCCAACGGAACATTCCAGACTCACAAAAATCACGTGGACGACCTTTGCATGCCCAACCAGATAAAAGTGTAACCAAAGGAATGTCAGATGATGAAGCTGCAGATAATTTCCACTTGTGAGATATTGGCACAAAAAGCATCAGAAAACTGCTTTATTCTACAAAATAGGCTACTCGAAAAGACACAAACCTGCCATCCTCATATTCTGAAGAAAGGACTTTCCATCCTCCACACTAAGGGATGCTACCAACCATGGCAAAACGCGCTCTAACAATTTCAAGGGCATCACACATATACTCTTGTACAAAAGTTCTCGCTGTTTCTTGGGACTGAAGTGTAATCTAGCAAGGGGAAGAATCTACAAAGAGGAAATAAAAGTAAAGGTTCTACTTTCATGTTTTCCATAGGTAAGAGAAAAGGTCAATTAATGATAGGCTTACATTAGCTTCCTCATTGCAGAAGTGCTTCTGTATCGTGTCTATTATTTGATCAGCATGTAAACACAGTTTTGAATGGAATTCCGCAGAAGATGAGTTTGCACCATCATTCTGAATGGTCTCTATTATGCACCTAAATTTGTTAAATTGTCTTTCTTCTTCAGCATGTTCGTGTGCAAATGATACTTCCCCATCCACTGCTGGAAAGATAACCTGGTCCTCAGCAATGCTGTATGCAACAGCATACGCAGAAGAAAAATCAAGGAGATATATCATCAAGTAGAGAACATAAAAGTTCAAAATATGTTGGCTAAGCCTCAAACTCGGCAACACACAGGATGCCTGACAGCCAGGTTTTCAGAAAACAAAATAAAAATGAGTGCATTAAGGGGATCTGACAGAAGATTTGACATAATTTGTTGATAAAAAATTTCAACACTAATGTTACAAATATATGATTCCCAAAAAATAAATTTTCTGTGATTTTCTTTTGAGAGGGATTTTAAAAGAAAACATGTTTTGAAATTAAAAAAATGGAATAAACTTTATTAAGTAACAATACGATCATACATACCTATGAAAGATGCACACATCAGCAATGAACTGCAGTCTTGCGTTGAAGGCTGATAGATCATTAAAATCTTGAGAATGTTCTATCTTTCTTGCTTCCTTGGCAATATCAGTCAACTCCTTTTTAATAGCACTATGCCAATGCAATATGTCGTTTATTGGTTGTGTTTCTCTTGTATCAGCCCCACTGCATTCAGAACAAAAATGTTTCCTTTTTCCAGCCCGTGAAAATTCACAGGCACAGGCTTCTTTTTCAATTTCACCTGTTTGCCCTCCACATTCAGAATCAATGCGGTGCAAGTCCAGAGAACAATTTTCAATGCTTGGAGACTTTGTTGATGAATGTTTGCCTTCCATCCAAGTGAAAATTACCTTCATGTTTTATAATTTGTCATCAGTTACCTTTTTCATGATTTAAAGTACTTATCTGAAATCTTTAGTTCGAATAAACAAGGTGTACTATATGCTATATAAAAAGTGCATCAAAGTGAATTCCTAGGATATTTCACATCCCACAAATTTACACCTGTTGAAGAAGCATTTCTTCTGGAACTATCTTTTGAAGACACTTCTGCATATCTTCACGTTCTACAGGTGAAACAGATGACGAAAGCCATGGCAGAAACTCTGCCATCATGTTCACTGGGATGCTACATAAGAACTGCCATACCAATGCAGCCTGCTCTTCAGATGAGAACTTCTCAACGAGAAGGGGAAAAACCTGTAACAGAAGGTAAATGAAAATTATAAAAACAAATTATCATAAATGACAAAACATCTGAAAACCAATCAATGCTAGGAAATAGGCAAACACCTATCACCAGCGGCTGTAACATCATGAATTTAAGGCGATAAGTCTATTAAGAAGTGTAATCAACTTGACCTCCTTTTGAAGTGTAATAAGAAAATGAATACGAAAAGATCAAACAGACAACAGCAACGGAGGAAATGACCTCAAGCTGGCTCATTAATGAATTCACCCAGCTAACCCACATATTAACGTTCCTCTATTGGTGAAGAAAAAGTGAGCTGTGCGAGAAAAGTAGGAATGGTTTAGCCAAAAGGGCACAAAAAAGTAAGTAGAGGTTTAAGAAACAAATCTAAAAATGATCCTGGAATTAATCAAGCATTGACAGATGCATAAACATTTAGGCTGAGGAGGCTTCATTTTACATAGAGCACAATCAAGTAAGACAGTAGCATGCTGATACTCCTATCATTATAGACTGTTGGAGCTGTAGTAGGTGAGTGGGCAAGCGGATGCTGCATCACAGACATGATGAAGGACCAGCAACGTAAAACTTACTGGTCTTAAAAGTCAAAACTAATTAAATAATTGAACACCATAATAATTAAATAAAACATAAAACAAAACTAATTAAAATACAGATCATAGATCCATTTTTAATATTCGTAAATCACGTAGTATCTAAATTAAAAAAGCAAAACAAAAGGACCTACTGCAGTCTCCACTTCTCTCTTCAAAAAATTGCGGGAGATAATTGTGGAAAAAGGAAACAGCAGGCAAAAAACTTGCTATAAGGAGAGATTCTTAGCTATAAATTTCAGAAAAACGGAACCAACTGCAGTTTCCTCTTTTCTCTTCCAAAATTGTTGGGCGATAATGGTGGAAAAAGGAAACTGCGGACAGAAAACTTGCAATAAGGAGCGATACAATGAACATGCCAACAGAAAACTGGCAGAAAATTTGTTCAGGAAAAAGCGCACAATGAATGCATGCAGGTCCAACAAATGCTCCAAGACACTACATTAAAAGGAGTTCAGGAAAAAAATAAAAAGAGGATGCACACAGTGTCTGGGAAGCTCAGCATAAGATCCTAATGAGAACTGATGGTTTGTAGATAACTTTTATTTTTTCTGTCTTTGAGAGAACAAGGTAAACAAACAAATTTATCAAGAACTATGTTTATTACCAAAGAAAAGCTGCTCATATGCAATGGAATACAGACATTTAAACCAAAATAACAGTAACAAGTATACGTTTATTGCCATTGATCAAATCTGTGTGGATTTTTGGATCATCATTAAGAAAAAGAAAATTATTCATAATGCATTTAAATATGAAGATTGGCTGCTATGCGATGCATTGATATGCAGATGGCACTCTTATCGTTTCTCTTATTAGAGAAATGGAGAAAAAGACTTATCACTACCATGGCTGTCCTTCTTGGCCCAGATGGTCATTGGAAAGCACATTTTTTACAATTGATGCCTCTGACCTATTTACCAGCCTGTTGGATGATATCATTTTTTTCCAAGGTATTATGATGCAGCATTATAGATTTTTATCATTAATCTTTTCGATGAGACTCGGGTTTGCTGAAAATCTGCTTTTGGAGACCATATTATACATAACACTGGAGCTACTTGTGCAACCACCTCAAAAAGGATTCACTACTTAGTTACGTCTGACATCTGTTTAGTGGTTTCAGCTGACCATATCACCTTGCAGAAAAGATATTGATTTCAACCATCATGTTTTTATCAGTTACATTCATATGGGAAGAAATTATGGCACTGTCAATAGAGAAATGAACAGGCCAACAGAAAACTGGCAGAAAAATGAACATGGAGACTTCAACTGGAGATAGATACTAAACATAACTTCTATGCGCCAAATAATGAAATTAAATCCATAACAAACAAGCTAATACATATCCTTTTAGTTTTGAATGAAGCACGTGATACTTTGATATGAAAAACAGTAAAAAAGAAAAATGACCTGCTCTTCTTCCTTTGCCATATGCTGGCTAAGTGATGTATGGATAGCACCGGTGCAGGATGCAAGCTCTCTACGGAAAATATCACCATTTTCGACATTTGAATTGAGCAGTTCAAACAATTGATCAAAAAGGTCATTCTCCCCCTTATGCTCAAGAGAATATGTCCTGGCAACATTCTTCACACGTATGTCAAGGGCTGGAAAGATGACCTGCAATTTTTAGATACTGAATTTGTGAGGGCGAACTTTTATTCTATAAGAATATTGTAATTATAATTAATCCAAATGCCCCAAAATTCAGCAGAGTGAAATAATAACATCATAAAACTTTACACAGAAGGTTCATTTTCCTACTATTCATCGGCCAGGTTAAAAACGCTGCAACTCAATGATAAGGAACATATGATAGTCCATACTCTTTTCTGGATACTAAAACAAAAGGAGCATGGTAAGAGAAGCTTTGACAGAGGAGAGGAGAGCTTTCCCTAATTTAACTTCTGAAAAAGCATTGGCTCTTCAGGATTGAAAATGCCAAGCAATATAGGCCCAGAGTTCTACTTATCTAACAGCTGTCTGAAACATTAGAGATATTCTTGAAAGGGTTTTCAAACACATCCTTCCCTTCATGTTGCCCAAAGCATAGCAGGAAGAAGCCAATCAATCATTAGTTGTTTTCTGACTAAAACCGGAATGAACTGGCCATCATTCCTTCAGCCTATAAATTCTTTCATACCTATCCAAGATTCCTCTACTCAGGCAAAATGACATCATGCCTTTTTAAATCCCCAAAACTGATCATATGACGCATATTTTCTCCCAGGAAGGAAACAAGCATTATAAAGATTCCCAGATAATGTGTCATAGAGCCTTCTGACTATTGTTTCAATAATCCTCTAGCTTGGCTCAAAGAGAAAGAACTACATACGAGATCCTCGCACATTTAGAACTCAGGCTAAACATCATTTAACCAGTACACAGGTGGAGACGATTTTGTCTCTCCACCTTTTATTGAAGGGTGCCCAATTCCCATTATTAGCTTTCATTGGCCTATCAGGCTAACATGTTGCATCTGTTTTTTTCTTTCCCTGTTCTTTTCAATTAAAATGTTCTTTTTCCATAACCTTATTAGCAACAAATACATCATTTACACTGAGATTCAGGCCATTCAAACCCTTTTAGACAAAGAAAACATGACAGAAATTTAGGGATGTTGCAAATCTCGAGACAATTCCTACGGAATAAATATTTAACTCATCAGCTTTCAGAAAAAAACTGTGTTAGCATTCTCAGTTCCATTCAAGTAAAAGATACAAATCAGCTAAGATCCAGAAATAAGCTACTGAGAGAAAAAAAGAGATAATCCGTTTTCTACTCAAGCTACTGAATCAGAGGAACAGGTTCTTCAGATTGAAAGATGATACTTCTTCATCTGAGAGAATTCTGCTTTCTTGAAGACAATATTAGGGATTTAATCTGGAAATCCCGTCAACCCAAGATTACCATTTGATCCTCACCTTTATTTGTCATAAAGGCTTATACCAAATTTGATACATTCACACACATGCTTGCACCTTTTGTAGAGCAACGACACTAAAGATTAAAATATTATTATCGATAAAGAATATATTAGGGTAATGTCTGCAAGGGTCTATTTAAATTGAAGTATAACACCGTTCAATCAAAATAATATTGTTCTCTCAATCAGGGAATCTAATATAGATGAAAGTGTTAGAATATAGAGTTCAGGAATACGAAGGAATCTACTAACCTAAAACTGCAATTTAAATCAGCATCCTGGGAACGAATTCTCAGCCAACAAAAAAATTAGGAAAAGCACAATTCATCGATCAGTTTCAATAGTAAGAGATTTTATCACCCCTCTCCCTTCAAAGTCTAGTCAGGGAAACTGAGCTCCTTAGAGCTCAATATCACCGACGCATAAGGATCATTCAACTCAATGATCAGCATCAACAATTGAAAAACTATTTCTATTCCACTTTTCTCTTCAACATCTGCAGGGAAACGCCTAGAAGCTGAATTTTTTTTCCCACAGCTGCAGAAATATAACTGAGAAATCAGCTCCCAAAGATATGCAATAAAAGGCCCCACGTGCAGAAGCTACACAGCGAGAAGATTTGGAGAGCTAAGCAGAATAAGCAATCAAACCAGACAAGAAATCCTCATTCGTCCCACATCTCTAGGGGACAAAACATATGGACTAAAGCTCAAATTGGACTGGAAGGAAAGAAAGCGAGTCTTTAGTGGCGGAGCACCAATCTCGCGAAAACCAAGCCCCAATTGTCTGTTCCCAAATCGTGGAAACAGGAAACAGCAAGACCAAACCTAGAGCCATTCGGATCCCTAGAGAGTGGCAGAAGAACAGATAATCCAGACGCACATATAACACAACCACTTGAATCAAGAAATTCTCCCCGAATTATTCCACGACAACGAGACGTACCTCGTCCTCCGCATTGCAGTGGTGCTTGTAGATGGCGAGCAAGAACCGGCATCGATCAGCAACAGCCCGTACGTCCCCTCCTCGGTCGGTGGTGGCCAGGGCGACGGCGGCACGGTGAAGCCGCTCGAGCTCCGACCGGATGGTCTTCTGGAAGAAGAGGAATATCAGGATCGGCGACTCGACCGCCGACCTCGCCAGGCACTCCCCTGCCGGACCGGCACCCACCGGCGACGGAGGAGGTGAAGAGGCCCCAGACGACGCTGAAGAGGGGTCCACGGAGTCAAGCGGACCCTGCGGCATCAGCGCGAGCACCCCATCTCCCGTCAACGGCGTCGCCATCGCGGGCCGCCGGCCCTCCTTCTCAGGCCTCCTCCCGCCGCCGAGAGCCTCCTCCCCTTCCACCGGCGCTCCTTCCTCCGCCCTGCACCGCCAGCCAATGCCGTGGAGCTTCTTCTCCCTCCCCCGCTATGCCTCCTCTCTTCTCTCTCTCACTGCCCTGTCTTCCTCTATCCATCCCCCCCTCCTTTCTCTCTCCTCTGCCCCTTCCCTTGAAGAATTTCCTCAAATTTTCAATTAGCAACGGGCGTTGACAGACGTACTAGTCACCGCCGGTGGATACGTGGATTGATGGAGATGTGTACACGTCACCCGGCCCGGTCTCCCCTTTCATCTCCGGCGCGCCCTTTCTCCACGTACCCACCTCCTTCAAAAATAAAAAAAATACAAGCAGGCACGAACCAAACCGACAACGCCACCTCTCCGGGTATAGGGGGTAAAACCGTAACTATGGTGAGGGGGTGGGGGGCCATTTCATCACACACGGAAACGGCACGACTGGAGGCGGCCTACCACGGGCCGGCACATGGCGGCGCATTCCGGCACGCGCCCGTCCCGATCTGACGTCGACTTAACGGCGTCCGAGTCATCGCGACGGACGATTAGTAAGAACTCCACCAGAAGCCGAGCCATCATCAAACTGAGACGTTTGGGGTTGGGCCGGGCGGGGCCGGGCGGGGCCGGGCCAGGCCGGGCCGAGTTTTGGGCCCTGCCGTTCCCAGGCGATCCCCACGGGCGCACCTCTAAATGGGTCTCTTGTTCTCTCTCGTTTCAAGCGTATTACCCCCTTAAAACCGAGAAGAGAGGGAGAGGTAATTCTGTTGTTCTGAGCTTGGCCCAATTCAGTCTGGCCCGGCCCATTGGCGGCGCCAGCGTTTCTCCTTTTCTTTGAGGATTAAGATGAATAGTAGTTGTCAAACTGACGACCACATAATAGAAGGCTGTTGGAGGTCGAGTCAGAGAACACGGAGTGACCGCCCCCGCCCCTCCTCTCTCTGCCACGGTCCCACCCACAGCCCAGCTTCCCGGTTCATCGATTAGTCACCCAAGGAAGGGGCCGTGGTCCGCGCCAGATGTCAACCCCCACAGGAGTCAGACGTTGACGAGAGGCGCGGCCCAGGGCGGTTGTTTGACCCCACTGCCAGGAGAGAGGAGTAGAACGGAAATAGGATAATTAAGGTTCTTTAAATGCTATAAATTAATGATTTTGAGGTCCAAAAACGAGCACGAGCACAAGCAGATGGGATTGCCAGAACATATCTGCATCTCGGCTGAGATTCTGGGGGAGCTCGGCAAGCCGGACGGATCAAAACGACGGGCGTGGCAGCGTTGACTATCGCACGCATCAACGTGTGGTCGACATCTTTGATGGGTTCTTGACTTGAATAAAGGGGTGGGTTCGGACTAATAAGAGTAAACGGATGGTCTGACCCTGGAGAGAATGGAGGCCTGCCGCCTTTAGAAGAATTTTTCTGGTCAGATTGATGAAATGAGCACATTGGGGCACCTGCCCCCCTTGCGGATATGAGGATAAGGTACTAGATGTATGAGTGTTGACTCCGATTTTAACTCATGGGTCAATACCTTTGGACTGACATAAGCCAAACCTCAATTTGCAAGGAATACAATGTGTGAAAAATAAAAAGCCCAAACCAAAAGGGTGCGTTTACATCTGCAATATTTTAGACGATATGTTGTTTTATTTTTAAAGTTCAATAAATTCTCATTGTACAAATTTCATTTGCAATATGTTGGAGATAATGTTGTGGAACAATAACACAAAACCTAAGAAAGTAGAACGGCCCATTGATCAGAAAAGGGAATCATTATAAGTTCATAGATTGCATCACTCAACTCATCAACAAGGTAGCTAGGTAGCAACTAATTTTGTAGCTCATCTTGTTGAGCAATGTGGCACAATGTGCTTCTTGTTCTTCATGTTTTCAACTCAATGTGCCTTATCCTTCTAGGTAGCTATTAAAGTGTTGACTTTAAGAAGGCTGCAAGATGAACCAAGAGAGGGCAAGACAAACCATCATACTGTTGCATTGGTCTTTTCTTCAAATTACTCTTTGATTGTCTCCTTTTCAATCTGAATTATGAAACTTGGACCACTCTAGTCTTTAAGGATCTGGGCCTTGTGTTATGCTAAGTCAATATGGTATAATGATTGAACATAAAGGTTTTATTCATGTAAACTCCACTAAATTTCACAACTCTAAGCAATCAAATGTCTTCTTATAATACTTCTTCCATATCCACAACTCTAGGGGGGCTAAGCAAATTATAACCTAAATAATCTCTTCAATGTTCACACCACTTGGTTGGGCAAATATTATAATTGCTTGACAAAAAGTTTATGTGTGACTTTTCTAAAGTTAAAAAAATATTATGCTGATATTTTTCTAATCTCTCATGACAAGTATGATAAAATAAAATTATCATTTTATCCTTACAACTATTCTTTCATCTTCAAAACTATAGTCTTCAAAATCCAATACATGGCTCACTTCTTTTGAGCCTTTTCTTTTGTACTTGGAGTTTAACAATCTACTCCATGTGACTTGAGGAGGCTTCATAAGGTTGAGAAATAAACCAAGACAGGAGTGCAAGTAAGTTTTTTTGATAAGTTTTATCTAATATTAACTTTCCTCTTTAGTTAGTACCAACCAATCAAGTTAACCCACCATGTCAACTTAAAAGTGTAACATAAGAAGCAAAGAATTATATTAGTTTGTCCCACCAAGCCTACTCCTCTCTCCATACACATCATCTGTAGGCTTCACCAACCCTTGCTACTATAAGTTACTAAACCTCAAGTGTTTAGCTATGTTAAATTGTAGTTACACATATGGTTGACTCAGCTATTCTACAAACACTTATTTAGATCAATGGCTCTATGTAGTCAAACTATGATAGTATCCAACAAATGTCTTATAATTTGACACCTCGTAGCCAAGCTGAATATGTCAAGTACTTAAATAAAATCTGTTACATTGCTTCTTTCAGCCTAGAGATGTATCTACTTCTTGTTTAGCAATTTTCAACCTTCAAGACTGATATGAGTAAATTTCATGTGTAAAGGATTTACTATTAAGTGTTCACTAATTTTTTTCATAGTACAACAATCTCCTCAAGTTCTATGCTTGGAACATTCAAAATGCAACTTTGAATAGCTGTTTCAATGGTTACTTACGAGCCACCTAATGGCTAGTTTCTAATGTTATGTAACTTTTCACTTTTCTTCATTTTTAATGCAATGCTAATGTTTACTACACATCAGCATGCTAGACACTAGGTAACTTAACTATTGTGTTAATTCATTTCTTACAAGGAAATAAAAATAAATTTTCTATAAACTTTTCTAAGGTAAGAGTATAATATCACCAATCTATTAGAGGTAATGAAAATGGGCTTTTAATATAAAATTACCATTAACCTTTATGTAATATATTGTTCAAATGAAAAAAAAGCTGATGAAGAGAAACTTTCTTACCAAATGAGTTGACTCAACCATAGATCAACTAATTAAACATGGAAAAGAGAAATATTAATTATAGTGATATTTGATAAATACTAAAATTCACAATAAATGCAGGAAAATTTTCAAATAATTGTAGGCATCATAAATGGAATCTTATGACAACTAGTTTCAATATACTTTCTTAATTGCCTCTGCATCAAGAAACCTATAATCTGGTTTCAGTATACTTTCACCAAAAAGATTTCTCTTAAAAAAGGATGATACATTTTAGGCAACTACTCATTTTTATTTCCATCATTTACATAATCTGGTTATTTGATTAAATGTAGAAAAAATGTGAGGTTTCCTTTTTAGAGTTTTGATTTGATTTCTAATTTGCTATTGAATGTCTACTTTTTTGGCTAAGATTTCTTCCATTTTATCATTTTTGAAATAGTCAATTGATTCATCTAATGAAGAAGAAAAACAGAACGTGAGTTGAATAATACATTGAATAAGAAATTTCTAGCAAAAAGATAATCCCTTGTTCTAAATATGGTTGAGAATAGAATAAAATTAAGTAGTGATGAAAATATCACTTATTTGGAACTCACCATACCATAGAAAAATAGAAACTTATATCCCAAATTCAATCAAGGATCATTTAATAACATGTGCAAATGCCAAAAGTAAAAAAAAAACTAGATTTGATTTGGATAGAGAGAAACATGGATACAAGATTGAGAGGAAATTCTTTAAGTAAAAATAAAATTGAAACAATCTTTCTTATAGTTAAAAATTGATTTCCTTCAACTATTTTGCAAGAATGAGAATAAGACGAAGGGTAGATGCTCTAAAAACAAGGATAACTTGTTTACGAATACGAGGACTAGCAGCAAGAGGAATTGAATAGAGAAACTTTTGTTTTTATATTATTAGGTTTGTGTCTTTATATTGAAAGATAATAATAGAATAGAACTAATAATCATAAATATGTTATTTGTACACTAATACTTAGATGAAGATCTAAATTGTGAGATATAATATGTTTGTTTTTTTGTAAAGATGATAAAGTCAGAAAAAGAATAAAATAAATTATTTTATAAAGAAAAATTAATACCAATTCTATGTTGGTCAACCAATGAGTTGACTTTGGTGAGTATACCTGATGAGGCAACATAACTATCATAAGAGTCAAACTTGAGGAAAGATAAACAAATCATTAAATTTTCATTATTTGAACCCAACAATTAGGTCAAACATAGGAGAGAGAAAAATGAAGATTGTCTCTAAGATTTGACACATCAAAATGCCAAAATGTAGCAACAAGTGCTAGAGAATCTTGACTATTTGAAATTTACCCTAACATGTTGAAGTATTAGAATCTATCAAATAATTTCCCAATGAGACATGTAGAATAACTTGGTCAAAAGCTAGTGAATCAAATAAGCTGGCTATATAGAAAGCTTGTTAAAAGGGTTGATCTACAATCTATTTGATGGAATAAATCTTAGTAATTTGAATTCAAATAGTCCAACTT